CGGGCTGGCAGCCCGCAGCACTGCAAATGTAAAGTGGGAAAACTTTGCATCTTTGTGTTTGAGTCTGCAGAGAAAGCTTTACGACTTAGAACACAGAAGACATAACTTTCCAGCCAGTTCCGGGTTGAACCCTGATTGAACCCGTTGGGGAGCGGGAGCCGTGCGGGCTGGCANNGCTGGCAGCCCGCAGCACTGATGGGATCGGGTGCCGTGCGGGATGGCAGCCCGCAGCAGCCGCACGAGCTGGCAGCCTGCAGCATTGACGGGAGCATGCGGGGTGGCAGCCCGCAGCACTGCAGTTTGAAACGAATCGGAGCCGTGCGGGCTGGCAGCCCGCAGCATTGTCGGGAGCTTGAGCCGTGCGGGCTTGAAGCCTGGAGGTTATAGCCCTGGTGTGCACGTGAGATAGATGTAGGGAAAGCCCAATACAAGGTTACAGCCAAAACGGCACAATTTGTGGATATGCCTTGTCGATGCTACACGTAGGGTGGCAGTCGCAGACGTGATAGTGGTGTTTGACGCGCGTAAGGACTCGAAGGGAGCAGCCGTCGTCACAGTCTCCATAGTTGGAAATAGTAGATAGTCCAGCACAGTGACTGGCAAAGCAGTATGCTGCAACAGCAGCAGGAGCAGGGTAGTGGTGGCGCTGTCGCATTGAAAACCACCATCACCTCTCTAACCACTGCCATCATTATCCGTTTTATCGCCATCACGACGATCATCAGCAAGCCATTCCCGTGGCCATCAATATCAGCCTGGCCATTCAGCACCTTCGCTGAATCCTTGATCTTCATCGACATCCACATCATCCACTACAATCCTCTTCATCTTCCTAGTCCCAGTGTCCTAGTCTTCTCTCTGTTCTGTTTTGCTGGCCTCCTGCAGGGCTCGAAGCTCTGCTCCACGCGCATCCACGAGGGCGTCACGCAGCGCCGGGCGATGGAGTGCCTTCCAGGGCTCCCTCGGCTAGCTCCAGGACATGCAGGTCGTTAGGCCGCTAGGCGCTGCGGAATGCTTTCTTGGGCACGGGGAAAAACTTACGTTACTTGCCAATCGCCAATCCTCCGGCCTGCTGCGCCACCGGCAGGAAACCGAGGAAGCGATCCATCGCCTGTTCCTCGGCTTGCCATGGACATCCTCGTCCTAGTCCTAGTCTCAGAACGGTGCAGTGGAGCAGGAAGCATGGGCTGCTTTCGCACGTCTCCTCGTCTGTCCGGACGGACGTTCGTGATTCAATTCTGCGTCAGGAAAGCTCCGAAACCCGAGACAGCTTGGGGGTTGCTCCTGACACCATTGCACCGAGACTCCAGCTCCTGGTGGCCTCGCGGGCACGCCTCCGGCAAAAGGCACGCTGGCCCATGTCACGGTTGAATGTGTAAGTCGTTGAACGTGCCTCCACTTCACTGCAGCTTCGGATCCCAGACCGTGCTTGGAATCGCTTCTTTCATCGCCACAACCCTTCACATCTTATTGTGCTGCAGCTCTATCAACACCAAGCCGCAAGCCCGAAACCGGAACCATGCACTTTGGACGGTTTTGCTTGCAGCCGCACTCGAGCATCTCGCACTGCCGGCCAGCACTCCCTGAACTCAGCAGCGAAACGCGATGCACCGTCACTTGAACCATGTACTTTGCGGCTCCTGCTCGTGCGGCTGCGACTACACCGCGAGTAGGTAGTAATTTGATGCAGGTTCTTGACAGCTAGTACTTCGGCGTGGTAGATGTGTTCTGTTATGTCATGTTACATTGACATGGGCTGAAAGACTAGCTCCAAAACTTCACCATCTTATCGAAAGATCCCGTCACGAGCATCTCAGAGTAGGGATGCCGGTGGAAGCAGCCTTGGGCAAAAGGCGCGGCAGATTGGTCTCTTCGCTGCAGCGCACGAAGGAATGGAGTGGGTGCGGCTGCGGGGTCAAAGGGATGCTTGAAACAGCAGTCTTGTCAGTCAAAGGGAGCCAAAGCAGCCATGGCTCGTAACAGCAAGTGCTCAATTTTCTGATTTGCCCAGGATAGGAGGATGATGGTGGGTTTTCCAGCTGGCAAATTCTCGCTCTTTGCAATAAGAACATGAAGGGTCATTTGCTCCCGCCTGGATCATCCGAAGCGCAACCGCCAAGGCTTGCAACAGTGTCTTCAATACTGCATGATGAATCCACGGATGACAGTAGTGGGACCCACGCAGTAGTCACGACTAGTGGAGCGACAGGTTCGCAATCCAAGGGCTGCATCACACCGTGAAAAACGGGACTCGGCGGACCAGAAAGTGGCATGTGCTACTCTTTTGCCTGACCCAACACCACTCACTTCTTGCTGTCTCGTGGCGCACGGATTTTTCATGACAAGGCAGCTGCAGCACCATCTGGCCACTCCGAACCTTCGTTCTGAGGCATCCGAACGAGGGCACACTTCTATTCCAGGCTGCTTGGATTTGAAACCGAATGGTTTGTGTTCAAGTTCAATAGGGTTACAAGATGGTTACAAGTAAATCTCCTATCCCAAGGGTATTCACACTGAGACCCTTAGACTTAGACCACCTGTGTTTTGACGAAGTCGGACTACAGTCATTGAGCTACGTCAGGAAGCTGAGAATCTAAGGGGCCATCAAAAAGTGGGAAAAACTGCAAGGAAGCTCCTACTCCTACACTATCTGCTTTCTTTGGCTTCGTGTGGCCTTTATAGCAAATAGCGTTTTCAGTCTCAAGGATCCTTTGCAACTCTCATCCCCTCAATCGCCCGCCCCGAAGATGAAGAGACATTGATCCACGGCTTGTTGCTAGGGCCTGGTACCTGGCATCTGACACTCGGAGACTGGAAAGGCGTGGGCTTGAATTCCCGACGTTTGTTGCTTGAGGGCTTTGGACTTCCGGGGTAAATCTGGGCGCCGAGTAAGCCTATGTTTTCTCGCGCGGCAAAAAAAAGAGAGCTTGTGCGTTCGTTACAATACGTGAGATCCTGTTGCCGCACCTCGAAAATGGCCACTTGCCCGCAGCGTGCCTTCACCTGGCCGAAGGATGTCGAACATGGGACTCATGTGGCCGAGGGACATACACTCAACATGGGGTGTAAGCCTCAAGGGCTTCGCTGTTTGGGATTCTGAATCGAAGTCTTGCTGGGATCTTCTTTTTGCTCAAGCTCCCGGCTGACTTCCGCAACATGGCCAGCGGACAACCTTTCTAAGCTGAGAGCCTCCGGATGCCGGCACAGTCTTGCTGAACAGGTCTCAATGTGTAGAAATCTGGAGAGAAACCCTAAACCCTAAACCCCCTAAGCCCTCTAAACCCTAAACCCCGTGGCCCAGGTCCAAGCTCGCAACCTAAGCGCTCCCGACCTCCTCCTCGTCCCTGCGTGCTGGCTGCGGCAGCGAGGAAGACACGTACAAGAAACAGCCTGGGATGCAAAGGGAGGAGTCTGCTTCCGCCCAAAACCACCAGGGGCGGCAAGCAAACGAGAGAGCCTAGAACTGTAAGTTCACAGAAGGCCGCAAACTGCCGAACGATTAGATGTGAATATTGCTTCGGTGGCACCTAGACTGGAATGAACAGAATTGACATGGATTCAATGACTAGGATCCCCCGATTGCTCAAGACCCTTGTAATTCAGGGGCCCTTGCTGTTGAAGTCTCATCTAGATACATGCACATGACCCCCGCAGAAAAAGAAGAACACTTCCTTATCCTCCTTGCTGTGGGGTGCGCTGCTCCCGACAACAGCTGACTAGGATACTGCCCCAAGCAGCCATCCAGCGAAAAGGCGACAGTTGGCATGTCATATTCCTCAGAGATGGGGCGGCTGAAGCTCTGAGCTCCTACGAGTACATCCTTGAACTAGACCGCCGAGCTTGCTCTCCCATGGCGCTGCATCGGGAACCGCGGATCCCCTGACTCGGACCCTGGTGCCTCTACACTGGGGCGGTCAAAATGCAAGATGGAGGCCACATGGGGGTTTCCGAAAATAGGGGACCCTAATATAGTACCCTAAATAATAGGATCCTTATTATAAGGACCCCAAATTAAGGTACCCCCTATTTTTGGAAAGTCCCACATGAATCAGACTCTGGTCTGGTTTCCGCTCAAAAGGCCCGGGAGCCCCTGAGCTGACGCACCGAGGATCCCCCACCGCAGCGCCGTAGAAATTCCGCAGCTGCCGAGGCGACCGCGCCTGGAGAAGAATCACCTGATATTCGCAGATTTCCGGAGGTCTTTAGGGGCGCAAGCCGGCAGGAACTCTCCGGGCTGAGAGGAGCCTTGCAGCCTTACAGTGGTAGGCCTAGGCTGAGCAATCGAAGTGAGACTTGCCACGACAGCGGCGAGAACTGATGCAGAGCTCTCGGAAATAACGTGCTAGACTGCTAGAGTCCCCACTTGGATTTGGGGTTTCCCTCTTGTGGACCACAGTGATATTATAGTGCCCTCTTCATCCATACTGGAGCTGCAGACGAGATGCGCGTGAGCGGTCAGTGCAGGCTACCAGGAAAGCACCATCCTGCGGGCATCACACTGCACTCCCTTCCCTGTTCATATTGCAGTAGAAGCCCCCAATCCTGGATCCGACTGCGACCATGCTTTGGACACCTGATGAAGCATACAGAAGCATACTACTTCCACAAAACCTCTCGCGGGCAACTTCAGCGACTCACAAGCCATCGTCGCAGCCGCGTTCAGGGCCCGAGTACAACTGCTTCGGAAGATGAGCCGAATGCGCTTATTGGGCCCATAGCAGAGCAAGTTTAAGTGGATCGTTACAGGAAAGAGCGACCAGGTGCAAGACGCGAGCGTGGACACAAAATGACACAAACAAACCGGTCGCCGATTTTGCCCCAAGCAGAAAGAAAGACATTGACAGCACGGACTGTTGTTTTAACTTGGAGGCCACATCTGAACAGAAGCACTAGAAGCACTAGAAGCACTGTAAGCCCACCCAGAGACCCTAAGAATTGTGGAATCCTACAAGACGGAACCAAGATCATGAACCCTGGTCCGGCGACGCCGCCAGGGCTAGCACAGCAAAGGAGACAACGCTGTCGCCAAGGGCATTGAGGTTGGTTCGCAGCACCTCCTCTGTCTGCGGAGGCTTCAGACACTGAAGGCTTCAACTCTGAATAGGAATCCTGGGTATGAGGTTTGCAGCGCAAAGAGCTCTACGATGAGGTTCATTTGCGACCGGGCCTTTTAGCTTGCAAGCGGGGGCTTTCTTCAGCAGTTTCATTCCAGACGCCATCCGAGCCTTTTTGTTTGATTTGAAGGGTTTGTGCTTCCGAAAGTCTGACGAAGAAGGGCACCTCTTTGCAAAGTCGGGGTTTCGGTTTCGGAGTGTGGCAACAGAGGAAGCTCTTTCACTTAGTACCGAGGGCTACTTGTACCCTCAGGCTTCGGAAGGAGGCTTCGCAGAACATCCAGAAGCGAGGCTGAGGAGTCTCTGCAGTTCAGCCCAGCACCGAGGCCGGAAAGCGGAGATTGCGACACACAGACAAAGCTTGACGGAGCTATCACCAGTCCCCAAGGAGTTGCTTCAAGGATGGAGGATTCGTGCCTGTCAAGGCCAGGGGCTCCCGCATCACTCTGCCAGACGTCGGCTCTGTACCAGAATCCAGGAGCGAGAAGACACAAGGGGAAGAGAAAGAGGCGGGGGAGAGGAGCTGTAACTCAAAGATCTGAGAGCCCAACCCGGACCCCGAGGCCTGGGTTCCGCCCGCGTGCGGGCCCTCCATCTCCAGATAGTGGAGCTCATGGTCATTCCTGGCTTCTGGAACAGCGACATGAAACGCTCAGGCCCTTTTTTGCATGAACCCTTGAACCCCAGACCCTGAGCCCAGAGCCAAAGGTAATCAAAAGGCCTTTCGCCCCAAACCGGGAAAAGACCCGAGAGCTCATCCAGTCGTCTGGGTGGGATCAGCGAAGATGACGGGGTTGCTCGCACAAACCACGACCACTGGCACCACCACCACCATCAGCACTACTAGAACCCGACCAAAACCCATGAACATCAGAAGAGGCTTCAAACCACCGACCTTTCTGCACGCACCGGGAGTGCAAATAAGTCTTTCGAGCCCGCCAGACGCGTGGGTTTGCTCGTCAACCTGTCGCAAAGGCCCACCTGGCTGACAGCACAGCCGTCAGGGGATCCAGCCAGCAGCAGGCAGTGACCTGGCTCAGGGCTTTCTCAGGGTTTCTTCAACGGTCGGAGTTTTTTCAAATCTTCTCAAGGCTCCCGAATCCTACGGAACCCCGTTTGGTCCTGTTTGGCCCAGCTGCTTCGTGTTTCGCCGAGATCGCAGAATTCTGAATCCGTGGACTCGGAAAAAACAAAATTTCAGGGCCTCGCCCACGAAGCTG